TCCGCTCGACATAGCGATCGCCATCGGGCGTCTCGATCACCCAGCACTCGTGGCGGCGATCGCGACGGACGGGCCGCAAGAAGATCCGCTCGCGCGCCCACTCATCGCCGGCGAACCACACCAGAAATCGAGACCCCGGCCGCTCCTCGTAGGTCGACATGGTCACGAGCAGCCCGCGGCGGCGGAATCGCCCTACCTGCCGCGCTCCAGCGGCCGGCCGCGAAGGCGAGCACCGCCGCCAACACCCGCAGCCAGGGCACCTCGCTCTTGTCCGCCGCCGCCTCCTTGCCGGCCGCCACGGCCCAGGGCAGGCCCGCCGCCAGGCAGTTCGGGCAGGGCGCGGAGGGCGGGCAGCCTGGGCGCGGCGGGCAGGGCGCTGGGCGGCAGTCGGGGAAGGGGGGGCAGCTCTGCGCCCCCGCCACGCCAGCCGCGCCGTCTCCGCCACGGCCCCGCGCGCCAGCTCTCGCAGCACGCCGGGCCCCACCGCCGCCAGGGCCGCGCAGAGCCCCGCCACCATCAGGTGCGGCGACAGACCGAAACGGAGCACAGAGCATTCGCGCGGCCCCCGCAAACATCGCTCGAAGACGGCCCAAAAAGCTTCCAATCGCGCCGCAGAACTGCCCGGGAGGCCCCTAGGACGGCCCCAGCACGCCCTACAAGGGCACCAAGATGGCCCAAGAAACCCCCAAAACGGCCCCAAAGACACCCAAGAGGGCCCCAAGCGAGGCCCAGGAGGGGGAACACGAACGAGCACGTCGAGCCTTCCGCCCCAAGATGGCACCAGAAGCTCCCCCAGAGGCTCCCGGGGCCCCCGCAGGACGCCCACGAGGCCCCCACGAGGCCCTCCAGCCGCCCAAAAGGCCTCCCAAGAGGCCCCTGCTGAAGCCCCAAAGAGCCCTCCAAGAGCCCCCCCAAAGGCATCCCAAGAGACCCTCATATGCATCCAAGATGCCGCTGAACCACAGCCCGGGCACGGTGGTGGGATGGGCCGAGGGACATGAGATCCGCCGCCCCCTGTCGATTCATCGCAGGGGTGCCTGGCGTGCTGGATGATTTCGGTTTGGATTTTGGTTCTTTTTCCAAAAGACCTCTCCCAATGGGTTTCGGCCCGCCCCGCCGGCCGCCCCCCAAGACCCGCGGGACGCACGCGCCATCGCCCAATCCCAATTCTTCCTCCAAGACGGCCCAACATGGCCTCCAGGATGGTCACGCTGGCCCAAGATGGCCTCCAAGATGGTCCAAGATGGCCTCCAGGTCCACCCAATATGGTCCAAGACGGCCTCCGAGACGGCCCAAGAGGGTCCAAGATACTTCCAAGTTCGCCCAAGAAGCCTCCAAGACGGCCCAAGAGGCCTCCAAGAGGTTCCCCAGGAGGGCCCGAAGATGCCAAAATCGTCCACTTTACGATGGTTTTGGAAGGATGCTTTTTTTCTGTTCGGCTTCCCGACGCTCCAAGACAGCCCAGGAGGCCTCCAAGAGCGCCCGAAGACGGCCCAAGAGGACTCCAGGAGCGCCCTCAGACGGCCCAAGACGGCCCCAAGACGGCAGCAAGAGGCCCAAACACGGCCCAAGAGGCCTCCAAGACGCCCAAGATGGCCTCCAAGACGGCCCCGAAGCGCCCCAAGAGGGTCCCCCGTTGGCCCAGAAAGGCCCCCAAGACGGCTCCCGACGGCGCCAGACGTGCCAGGAACCCACCAAGATGGCCGAAGTTGGCTCGAAGCTGGCCCAAGACGGCCCAAGAGGCCCCCAAGAGGGCCTCCAGGAAGGCCAGAAGAGACCAACAACATTGATTGTCCTGCGGTTTTGACGGGTTTTGACATTTCCTTCTTTTCGGCCTTCCGACGGCCCGAGACGGCCCAAGAGCCCCCAAAGATCGCCCAAGAGGCCTCCAAGACGGCCAAGATGACCTTTACGATGCCCGCGTGTTCCCCGAATGCTTTCCAAACCGATTCGGGGAACAGGTGGTCCGATGGCTTGGCAGGTCTGGCCTCAACGTTCGGCCACATAGGCGTTTCCACAGTGGCAGGGGGCGGCGGTGGTTCGCCGTGGGCGTCTTCGATCCGCCGCCCCCTGTCGATTCATCGCAGGGGTGCCTGGCGTGCTAGATAGTTTCGATGTTGGTTTCTTGTTCCAAAAGAACTCCCCCTGGGGTTTCGGCCCGCCCCGCTGGCCACCCGGAATGCCTGGTTGCAATCGGTTTCCCTGCCCGGGAAGGCCCCGAGATGGCCCGAAATGGCTTCCAAGACGGCTAAGATGGCCCCAGTGCGCCTCCGAGACAGCCCAACATGCACCCAAGACGGCCTAAGATAGCGTCAAAATAGCCCAAGACTGCCCAGGAGGCCCCGAAGAGGCCTCCCAGACGCTCCAAGAGGTCCTCCAGGAGGGCCCGAAGAGGCCAAAATCATTGGTCGTCCTTAGGTTTTTTCCCAACCATCCTGTGGTGTTGGGTCCTCGTTTTGAAGAGACAGCGCCCCGCGTCTTCTCCTCCTCCTCTCCTCCTCCCCTCCTCCCTCCTCCTCGTCATCGTCACGCAACCATCCTGTGGTGTTGGGTCCTCGTTTTGGGCCCCGCGCTCCTCTCCTTCCTCATCCCTCTCCTCCCTCTTTCCATCATCATCATCATCATCATCATCATCATCATCATCACCATCCTCATCACCATCATCATCATCATCAACAACATCATCATCATCGCCATCACCATCAGCATCATCATCGTCGTCATCATCGTCATCGTCACAGTCACCATCGTCGTCATCATCATCTCCGTCATCGTCACAATCATCGCCATCAGCTTCGGCACACCCCTTACACGCTTCGTGGCCCCATAGGGAGCCCCACCGAGGGTCCCAGTGACGCAGTTCGCATGCGTCCCCCCCGCCCAGGACAACGCTCCGTGGCCCCATAGGGAGCTCCACCTAAGGTCCCAGTGCCAGAGTTCGCATGCGTCTCCCCCATCCAGGACAGCGCTTCGTGGCCCCATAGGGAACGCCACCGAAGTCCCAGTGGCGCAGTTCGCATGCGTCTCCCACGCCCAGGACAGCGCTTCGTGGCCCCATAGGGAACGCCACCGAAAGCCCAGGGGCGCAGTTCGCATGCGTTTTCACCGTCCACAACAGCGTTTCGTGGCCCCACAGGGAACCCCACCGAAGGCCCCAGTGGCGCAGTTCGCACGCGTCCCCCCCGCCCACAACAGCGCTTCGTGGCCCCATGGGGAGCCCCACCGAAGGCACCAGTGGCGCAGTTCGCATGCGTCTCCCCCGCCCAAGACAGCGCTTCGTGGCCCCATAGGGAGTTCCACCGAAGGCCCCTGTGGCGCAGTCCGCATGCGTCTCCCCCGCCCAGGACAGCGTTTCGTGGCCCCATAGGGAGCCGTCTCCCCCATTTCGGCACTCCCTGACACGTTTCGTGGGCTCCACCGAAGGCCTCAGTGGCGGCGTTCCGAAGGTGGGGTTCGTTCCATGCGTTCGTTTTTGAAGGCTGCGATGTGTAACCCAGCAGCTGCGCCTCGCCGGCAGCGTTCCAGGGGCCCGAGCTATTGGCGCTATTGCACGAGAGTTGCCGAGGGCGTTCCAGGCCCACTGGTGGCCTCGGGGGGCTTCGGGGATGCGTCCGGAGACTTGCGGACACCTGCGTCGAAGGCCGTCGGAGTTCCCAGGAGGACGAACGGAGTGGGCTGCGGAGGAACGGAGGAGGAGGAGGAGGAGGAGGAGGAGGAGGAGGAGGTCGGAGGAGAAGGAGGAGGAGGAGGAGGAGGAGGAGGAGGAGGAGGAGGATGCTCCATTTTTCCTCAGGCCAGGCTATTCTCGCTGCAGCTGCGGCCGGGCTTGTCTGGCAGCAGCAGAGAGACAAAAGAAAAGGACCAGCTGGCCAACTTGCCTCCGGCGACTGCCAAGCTTGCGGTAGTGCGAGAGCACTCTGAGAGAGGCGCGAAGTGGAGTGGTTGGGCTCGAAAACCGCTTGAGCACAGACAGTTGCGGCCAGCACGGAAACATTCAGCATTGCACACTGTTACGCGTTGCTACGTGCTCCATCTTTCCTCAGGCCAGGCTATTCTCGCTGCAGCTGCGGCCGGGCTTGTCTGGCAGCAGAAGAGAGACAAAAGAAAAGGACCAGCTGGCCAACTTGCCGATATCCGCCAACATCTAGCGACCTGGCGGTAGAGGCGGCACTTTTCAGCTGAAATCCCCAACAGTGCGAGCACACCGCGGAGACACCAAGCAGCGAAGCGCAGTTATCATCACGCCGCGCCACCAAGCGAGGTGTCCACATCAGCGTTTCGAGGCGTCGACACATGACGCCCACAAAGAAACCAAGCGAGGAGGGTAGGGCTCTGCGACCAACGTCCAGAGCTTGCCTCCTGGCGCTTTGCCCTCTAAGACCTGATGCCGATCATCAGAATATTTGCAGCGAGGACCATTGCATTCTGCGCGCAGGGGCTCCAGCGCACATGGGATACCAGCATTCCAGCAGGCTATAGTAGTGGCCTTCCGCCACGGGGTTCCGAATCTGCAGTATACAGCATTAATCAGACGAGCTTTGCGCAACAGAGGGGCCATAACTGGCTGCTGCCACAGCCAGGGCGACCTGGGGTTCTCCAAGGACACGGGCACGTTAGACTTGATGCAGCTTCGAATGGCACGGATCGAAGCCTGGGCCAAACGATCCCCGACCGACACCTCGGTCGCATCCGCGCCAGAAAGCTCAGGAAGGCCCCCAGGATACAGTTTGGACCTGAGGGGGCCCCCGGGACTGCCAAGCTTGCCTCGCCGTGCTGTCGAAAAACTGCTGCATGGCGTGCCGAGATGCACCCAACCTGCGCTGGGAATGCATTTCAACACGCGCCTAATTACTGCTTCTTTTGACAAGTCTTGCTTAAGTGAATCTCGAATGTCCCAAGTGGCCGACCGCCAGCCCCTGCGAGACAGGGCCTGAGAGAGGCCGCGCTTGCCCGAAAACAATTCCAACAACAAGGGCCTCACACAAGACCCGCGTCTTGGCGTCTGCTCTCGAACTTGCCGACGCGCCCGAACCTGAGCCCTGCCTCGAGGTTGCTGGCCGACTCGGCCAACGGCAGCTGGCAGTCCCGCGGCAGCGACGCCAGGCGCCGCATCACCCGCGAGCTCTTCTCGTACCTCCGCACACTCATGTCGGAGATCCACCTCCCGCGTCGCTTGATGCCGTCCAGGGGCCGCGCCTTGGTCAGCCAGTCGTGTGACGGGCCTGCATGTCTGAGGATGCACGGCGTGAGCTCCCAAGCCTCCAGGCCGACGTCGGCCGCGGCACGCTTGAACATGGCAATGAAAGCCGCGGCCGACCACGGAAAGAGGAGCTCCGCCGAGAAGCTCTTCTGCCTCGCCAGCCGCTCCACCAGCACGCCCAGGTAGGGCCTCGACGCGCTGTCCAGCAGGATCGAGTCGTTGAAGCCCCTCGTCTTGGTCGGCTGCAGCTCCTCCTCTGGCCTCAACACCAGCGACGCGAAGCGGTAGTCGCCCCCGGCCTCTGACTGGGCTGGGTTGGCCCGGAGCGACAGCAGCTCGCCTGGCCGAAGGTAGGCGTCCGCCGCCAGCGCCACCGCCAGAGCCGCCAGCGGCTGCCTGCGCCTGACCAATGCCAGCGCGATGGCCGCCGCGGCGGCCCACGGCACGGGCGCCCGCGTCACCGGCGGCGCCAGACGTCGCCAGCCCTGCAGCGCCTTCGCCACCCTCGGCAGCTTCAGCAACCGCCCGGCATGATGGAGCCTTGGCCAGCGATGGCCCACTGCCGCCAGCAGCTTGGCCCCGCTGTTGCAGGGCCCCCCCTGCGCGAACAGGAGGTCCATGTACTCCACCAGGGCCTCCTCGAGCAGCAGGTCGGTGTCGAGCGCCAGGCCGTTGATGCTGCAGAAGCCGAAGAACCGCTCCAGCCTCCGCTCGTAGTCCTCCTTGGCATTCGCCGTCGCGCTCCCCTGCTCCAGGACGGTCGGCCCACCAGTGCCAGCTATCCTCGCGCGAGCCCGGTCCCTCGCCCCAGCCGCCGGAGGCGGGAGGAGGCCTCTCGGCCTCGCAGGGGATCGGCGAGACCTCGTTGCTAAGCCGCGCAGCGGCCCTGTCGAGGTAACCTGGGCCGCCGCCACTCTGCCATGGCCCCGCGACAGCGTCGGGCACCGGGCCGCTCCGCCGCTGCAGCTGTCTCTCGGGAGCCGGCCCGCCGACGGCGGCGGGGTGCCAGGCGCGCCTGCACCAACCAGCGCGGGAGGCGCTGCTACACGCCTCAGGCACCTCTCCGCGAGCCTCGCGCCGGTGGGCTCCCAATGCAGCTGCAGCCGCCTTCTCAGCGGGCGTGTCGAACCATCGGCTGGGCTCATCGCTGGGGTTCAGCTCGCTCGCAATCCATCTCACACAGGTGCGAGAGAAGGTGGCCAGAGAAAGCGCGGCCCACTTCCGGAGCAGAAAGTGTACGGGTACAGATACAGCTCGCCCCTTTTCCAGACTTAGAACTATGCCCATGTTGTCACACAGAAATAGACGATGCTTATGATGATGTTTAGCTTGTCTGCATTTGCGCCTCCACCCAAATAACACCGCCCTCAACTCCTTCAGGTGGATTGCCTCCTTCCTGTGATACCTCCTCGCTTGTATAGTCCTCCAATTACCCCCCTCCTTGGTGAACGATGCTGGTAGCTCAGGGAAATGATGTTTGATGCTAATGGCAATGTCGTCGTCGTAGTGTTCTCCATTTTCAGCGAAAGCCTCGAGTCCATCGAGCGGCAGAGAGCCGCCCAACGCCCGATCCCGAGGACGGCTGGCCCCCTCGACCTTGAAGCGCCAGCGTTCACTCCAGCGCCCCACTTGCCTTACCTCGGACACCGGGAAGTCAGCCTCCTGCGCGGCGTAGCCCCTCAGCGTAGCGTCGGAGCAGGTGACCAACCCAGACCACGGCATATCGAATTGCACCGCGAGCAACGGCATGATGTGCATGGCGTTCTGCAGCTCCTGCCTCACAGAAGGCCAGAGCAAGCTAGGCGCCCGGTAGTGCCGCCGAGCAAAGTCGCAGGCGGCGCGGAAGATACAAAGCGCCGGGCGGTTCAGCAGCATGGCATGCGCAAAGTGGCCGATCAGCTTCTCGACCTCCCTGCCGGCCACCAGCCGCCGCCTCAACAGCGCGCGCGCGCCCTGCACCAGCCGCCACCGCTTGGAGGAGGCCAGGCGGCACCGGAGCTTGATGCCATCCAGCTCCAGGCCCAGCGCTTCGACGACATGCTTGCCCTCCTCCACCTCGTGCAGCGGCAGCCCGACGCTAGACATCTTCTTGGCCGCCTGCTGCCTGGCGTCGGCAGAGGCACCTGGTCGAGACGAGACGAAGACCTCGTTGTCCACGTACACGATGCGGGGAACAGGCGTTGCCGAGGTCGTCGGGGGCACCTGGCGGTCCACCAGCTCGCTCTCGATGCCTCCAAGCCCTGCCCGCCGCAGCAGCTCTCGATGCGCCTGCTGCGCCCATCTCATGGCCCACGAGAAGCTCATGAGCAGCACCCGCAGACAGGGGTAGACCCAAGCGCCTGCGAGCACCGGCTCGCCCTGCACGGTCTCGGCCCCCACCTCGCCGGCCCTGGCGGGCCTCATCCCGAACCGCGGCACCATGTAGTCCGGCACCTTGAACTGGTAGAAGCAGTCGGCGATGTCCTGAATCGAGAACTCCAGCATGTCCCCAGGCTCCGCCTCCAGCCCGACCATCGCCGCAGTCGACGCCAGCTGGATGGAGGTGGGACGCCTGAGGTTCTGCTTGACGGACCTGGCATCCACTATCAGGCGCAACTTGCCCGACTTCTTGCGTGCGAAGAATATCCCAACCTCAAAATCACGGCGAGTACGGAGCTCCACCATGCCCCTGTTCAGCAGGTCCTGCACGAACCTGGTGTACTCGCCTCTGTCCGCCTTGAGCGTCTTGTCCCAGTACACCTTGCAGGTCGCTGGCGGCTCCTCCTCAGCCCGAAGCAAAAGCGCACGGGGACCGTCGATCACCTCCTGGCGGTCAGGGTCTGGCAACACGTCCAGCAAGTCAACCAATCCTGCGGTGTCCGGCCACGAGACCAAGCCGCGATCATACGGCGCAACCACGGAGAGGTCTTCGGACGCGTAGTCGAGGGCCTCGGTACCGAGCAACTCCTGAAGGGCTGCCTCGGGGGCGGGCAACGGGTCCGGCGGCCTGTCGTCAGTGACCGCGCGCAGGATGCCGTCAAGCGCCGAAAACTGTGCCTGCGAGGGTCTTCCTCCAGGCAAAAACAAGCCGTCCCCATACAGGTTGTTGAGGGCGGCGCTGCAGTCGTTCGAGCGTCGGCCGATGGCCGCCCTCCTGCCCAGACGCTGAGCAGCACGGCGAGGACCTCGGCGCTGTTCAGGAGAGCTGTAGGTCACCTCGGGCAAGGGGAACAGATCCCGTGGCACCGCCCTCTCCATAGTGCGGCCTGAATCTACGACCCGGGACGGCCAGCCCCCGGATCCTGAGTCCATCATGACTTCGTAGGAGCGCGCGCAAGCGCACGCTCCTCGGCAGCCTTCCTCTCCTCCTTCAAGATGGACGAATCGCGGGCCGCCGACTCGGCCACCCACTTCTGAAGCTCCGGGGCCATCAGCGCACCGCCCGTGCGCCGCGTCCTGCCCAGGTAGTAGTCCTGCAGGTCGAAGTCCTTCCCGGCCTCCCGCTTCTTCTTGATCCGCTGCTCGATGTACTGGATGTGGCGGCATAGGCTCTCCATGCTCGCCAAGTTCGACACGTCGAGCTGGTCGAACGTGGTCGCCAGCTCGAGGATCTCCGAGAGCATATCGTGCGTCACCGCATTGTGTTCGTCATCCTGCAGCTGGTTCTCGTGCTTCCAGGTCGGGTGGCGCTGGAGGGGACCAGCCGCCTGCTCAGCTATCTCCTTCACCAGGTACAAAGCCGTGCGCGGCCCCTCCAGCACCCAGTCATCGAAGGCACACATGTCCGAGCTGTTCGCCACGCTCTTCATGTCCCTGAAGCGCCGTCCCGCGCTGTCGCGCAGCACCGGCAAGGTGCGAGCGTCCTCGGAGCTGGACGCTCCTGACGCCCGCACCGGGGGAGTGTCCGTGCCCCCCGCGTCGCTGTCCCTCTTCGTCAGGCGCCTGAAGAGCTCGATCACCTCACTCTCCTGCTCCCCCACCTCCACGCGGTACAGCGCCGCGGGATCGCCTCGCAGGCCCATGTCATACAGGCCCACCGAGCCGTTGCTGACGAAGCTGTCCGACGGGGCGTGGTGCTGCGCCGCGAGCATGAAGGTGTTGCCCACGTTCACTTGCGCCGACCGCGCCACGCACACCAACTTGAAGAGCTCCGAGCTTGACCCAGCAGGAGGCGATCCAGCCGGGGGAGGCAGAGGGGGGGCCGCGCTCGCGCCGGCTCCTGCCGACGCTGGCGGCGGCTCCGGCTCGTCCTCCAGGGTGCCCATCATGCTTCTCTCCTCGGCCGCCTTGGCGCGGCCCTCCTCGAGCAAGTCCTGCAGCTCCTGCCCGACGGGCTTCGCCGAGAGGCGGTGCACGGGCAGGCCGCGCGCCGCGCCCAGCCCAGGGGGCAGCCCCCCTCGGGGGCCCCCCTCTCTGAAGCCCTGGAGGAACTCCAGGCTGATGGTCTCCGCGTAGATGTCCCCATCTGGGGTCATGATGATGTAACAGCAGTGGTCCACGACCGCGAGGATCAGGCGCTCATGCCATGGTTCCCCGTCCACCCCGTAGTTGACGAAGACCACGTCCCCGGGCTTCAGCCCCGCCAAGGACCTGCGCCTTCTCGGAGCCGCGCGCATCGTGTCGATCGACCTGCGGCTGCGCTCCCACAGGCGCCTGCACCAGCGGGGCGAGGGCCACCTGAGGGCTCGGCTGTCTGAGCGCGAAGGCGCCCGCCAGCACCAGCCGGCACGTCACGTAGCAAGAACAGCACGCCGCCTGCGCCGCCAGCACCAGCAGCGCGCCCAGCACGAAGGCCAGGACAGCTGCCGTCACGGCCAGCCCGAGGGGCACAGGAGCTCCCCAGATGTCCTGGGAGCCGAGGCAGGCGTTGGCGGCGCTCGAGAGCCCCAGAGCACAGGGGCTGACGCCGAACGCCTCCTTCACGCCCTGGGCGCCGGGGCCGGGGACTTATCGGCAGAAAAGGCCCAGCCGAAATCTCCCATCCGCCGCCTCGAAAACCGCTTGAGCACAGACAGTTGCGGCCAGCACGGAAACATTCAGCATTGCGCACTGCCGCACGTTGCTACAGGAGGAGGAGGAGGAGGAGGAGGAGGAAAAGGAGGAGGAGGAGGAGGAGGAGGAGGAGGAAAGGGAGCGGGAGGAATATGAGGAGGAAGGAGGTAGCCCCCTTCGACTGGTACGAAGACGATGATGACGACGATGGTGATGATGATGGTGTTGATGATGATGATGACGAAGATCCTGATGCCGAAGATGGTGATGAATATGATGGTGATGATGATGGTGGTGACGATTCGGATGATGATGATGATGTGGATGATAATGATGGTGATGCGGCTGATGATGATGCAGATGGTGATGCTGTTGATGATGCGGTTGATGACGATGGTCACGATGATGATGATGCTGACGATGGTGACGATGTCGAAGATGACAGCGCTGACGATAACAATGGTGATGGTAATGCTGATGATGCCGGTGATGATGATGGTGATGATGATGTCGATGACGATGGCGATGATCATCACCATCGTCCAGAAGATGGCGTTGATGACGACGATGCTCATGATGATGGCGATGCTGCTGCTGAGGATGATGACGACCCTGACGCTGCTGACGACGACGATGAGGAGGAGGAGGAGGAAGACGGGAAGGTGGAGGATGACTGGTAGGGGACGACCACGTCGACGGCGCCTTCGGCCGCATGCCCATCGTGATCCACCTGGGGGACTTCCTGCAGCTGAAGCCGACGGGAGACAAAGCGTCCCTTATCTCCAGCTTCGAGAAACTGGCGGCGGCGGGCATCAACCTCGCTCCAGAGTACCAGGCCGTGATGAAGCTCTTCTGCAACACGCCGCTGTGCTTCGAACTCCAGGCGTCCAACCGCTTCAAGGACCCGAAACACAGGGACCTCATGGCGTTCCTGCGCAAGCCGGGGAAGCAGGCCCCGCCGGCCATCCGGGCCACGTGGAACGCCATGCAGCTGAAACCCGATGATCGCAGACTCCGGGAGGAAAGGTTCCAGAACGGCCACATGATTGGATCCTACTGGGACACCGTGGCAACCCGAAGAACACCGGTGGAATGCACGGACTGCTCCCGGTGCACGTGGGCATGCGGATCCGGCTCCTGGAGGCGCTGGACCTCAAAAACGGCCTCGTCAAGGATGCCGAGGGGCAGATCGTGCACGTCGTCGTGGACCCTCGGGATCGTGGCGACGTCGAAAGGGCCGAGAGAGACGGGGAGAAGATGATCTATCTGAAGCACTTGCCGCTGGGGTTCTGGGCGCGCATGGAGACGCACGCGAGCGCGCCCTCCGTGGGCGACCTGAAGCGCCACGACGACGCCCTCACAGGGGACCTGACGGGCCCGCTGGTGTTCATCGAGCCTCGCGCGTCGGGGCCGTTCACGTTCCGCACTTCCGCACCTCCAAGGTCGCCCGGGCGGGCTTCCCGTTCTCGCACGGCAGGGTCATCGCCGCGGTGGCGTGCCAGGGGCGCGCCACGCGAGAAGGCGACGGGGCGGGGGAACAGCGCCCCCCGGGCAGTCCACGGCCAAACCTCCTGGGCACGAGCGATCCGCAGCCATGCCTTTTTTGGTTCTGTGGATTCTCGCCTTGGGCGATTGGCTGCCCCGCGCGCTGCGCCCTCGGCCGACGTCGCCCAGGCGTGATCATGGACTGCGGCCGCCACGAGATCGGGAACGGCAAGAAAGACGACGACGACTGGTGGCTGGAGCTCTACGCGCTGCTCTCGCGAGCCACGCGCCACGAGGACCTCCTGCTCGCGCGGGCGCCGCGCATCGAGTTCTTCCTGGCGGGGCCGCCGGCGGGCTTGCGGAAGCAGTTGGAGCAGTTTGCTGCGCGCGCGAAGCGGTGCAGGAGGGAGGCCACGACCCTCGCCAAGAAGCTGGGCTTCGCCGAGTTTATGCGCGAGGCATGTCCTGGGGAGTGGCCCGCCCGAGCCGCGCTATATCCAGGCTGTCCACAATTCGGCAGGGCGCCGCGGACGACCCGCGCGCGTCGCTGGGGCCCTCTCGGGGCGACCAGCGTGCTTCGCGGGGACTCCGTGCTGCGCACTGCCCAGCGCCTCGTTCGCCCGTCGTCGCTCTGCACGGCGCCCAGAGCCTTGCCCGCCCCCATCCAGCCAGCTAGCTCACTTTGCTCCGCGCAGCGGACGACCCTCGGGGCGACCAGCGCGCGTCGCGGGGGCTCCGTGCTGCGCTGCGCCCGCAGCCTTGCGCACTGGAGTGCGCGGGCAAAGAGGGAGAGAAAGAGCGGGAGGAAGCGGGGGCGGTCCACGCGAGGGGGGGTGCCGATATGGGCGTCGACATTCATCCACGCAGACTCCCCCGCGCGCAGATTCACGCACAATCAGACCCACTCGTGCTCAGACTCACCCGCTCTCAGGCTCTCGTTATCAGACCCATCGTTTTCTTCCGCGTTGCGTTCCCCGCCATGCATCGGCGCACCCCTCGCGCGGGTCTTGGCATCGGAGGGGGCCCCACCGAAGACGAGGTTCACAATTGCGGCGCTCTCAACTGCGTATGGTTGGGTGTTCGCCAGGCGGATGAAGGATTTTGGCATTTGCTTCTTTTCGGTATTCCGACGGCTCCACACGGCCCAAGAAGCCGCCAATGTCGCCCCAAGATCGCCCGCCAGGCCTCCGAGAGGGCCCCACGACGGCCCAAGAGGCCTCCAAGACGGCCCCACGAGGGCCCCAAGAGGCCTCCAAGAGACCTCCGAGACGCCCGAGATGGCCTCCAATCGCCCCAAGAAGACTCCAAGTCGGTTCAGAGAGGCCGCCAAGACGGCCCCCGACGGCGTCGGACGGGCCAGGGGCCCACCAGGATGGCCGAAGCTGGCTCGGAGCAGGCCCAAGACGGCCCAAGAGGCCTCCAAGAGGGCCTCCAGGAGGACCAGAAAAGGCCAAAAACATTAATGCCCCTCAGGTTTTCAAAGGTTTTGAAACGTGCTTCCCTCCGGCCCAAGAGCCCCCAAAGATCGCCCTAGAAGCCTCCGAGGCCCCCAAGACGGCCCCAAGAGGCCCCCGAGACGGCCCAGGAGGCCTTCAAGACGCCCACGATGGCCTCCAAGACGGCCCTGGAGCATTCCAAGAGGGCCCAAAACCGGCCCAGAGAGGCCCCCCAAACGGCTTGCGACGGCGCCAGACGGGCCAGGAGCTGGCCCAAGACGGCCCAACGCGGCTGCAGCAGGGCCACGAAATCTTTTCCCTTGAGTCAACGTGGGCGAATCATGAATGAATCTGGGCAATGATCCCCACATGCGAAACCTGTTCACAAAATCTGCTCACCAGCTTCACGGGTGAAACTTTCTCCCAGGTTTAGCAGCGCCAGTCTGGCCGTCGGCAACCAGTCGTTCCCATGGTGACTGATCCCCCTAGAAAAGAAAGAGCGCAGATAAAGAAAAAAGACAAAACAAACCCCACTGAAAAGGAGAGGGCGCGCAGGTAGGGAGAGGAGGAGATGGGTGGAGGGGGGGGGGGGGGGGAGAGAGAGAGAGAGAGAGAGAAGAGAGAGAGAGAGAGAGAGGAGAGAGAGAGGAGAGAGAGAGAGAGAGAGAGAGAGAGAGAGAGAGAGAGAGAGGAGAGAGAGAGAGAGAGAGAGAGAGAGAGAGAGAGAGAGAGAGAGAGAGAGAGAGAGAGAGAGAGAAGAGAGAAAAAAAAAAGAAAAAAAAAAAAAGAGAGAGAGAGAGGAAAAAAGCAAGAGAAAAATAGAGAGACAAAAAAAAAAGAGAAAGAGAGGGATGATACATATATATGTATATATATATGCACACCTATATATATAGAGAGAGAGATATAAAAACAAACAAACAAACAAACAAACAAACAAACAAACAAAAGAGAGAGAAAGAGAGAGAGAGAGAGAAATCAATAAATAAAGAAAGATTACATAAATAAAGAGAGAGAGAGAGAGAGAGAGAGAGAGAGAGAGACCAACACCACCTCCACCAGAGTCTCCGACGATCTGGATCTGGAACTCCTCCCAAGTGACTATGCTGCTCAGGTCTCCTCTAGAAGCTGCTTGGGTCCTGCTCTTGAAGCCGGGCTGCTATCGGCGTCGCTCGACCCCCCCGGACTCATCAATCAGAACCAGGCGCCCGCTGACCATCGGGACGAACAGCGCGGCGTCGCACTTTGACATATCGTTCTTGGTCGATGCGTCCACGGGCACGCGACTATGCGGGATCCACCGGACTCTTCCCTTGGTCCTCTCCAGGGCCTCGCTGATGATGGCCAGGTCGATGGCCGTTCGTCGGCCCCGGGCCCCAGCGTTCCCCTCCTTGAGCATGGTGTCGCATATGGGTTTCGCGCCCGCAACGTGGACTTGCTCTTCTCGGCTTCCAAGGCGGCAGTCCCGACGGAGAACAGTAGTGACTGGTCCCGAACCCCGGTGGTAATCCTGAAGATCAATATCCTGGAAAATGATGTCCCGATACAATACTTGTACATACTCCACTTCTGCGACTGCCGTCGACGGGGCCTGGGTTTCGCCCGCTAAGGTGGACGGCGCCTTGCGGCGCAACTCGGAGCTCCGCCAACCCAGGATCGATGCCTTGACCGAACGGTTGTCAAGCACGCTCCTGTCTGCAGCCAGCACCATCCACGCTCCGCGTGATGGGTCCTCGGGCAAGCCCTGATCATCTGTCATGTGTTCGAATGCTCCCACGCCTCCGGCGTCGGAAAAAAAAAGTACAGAAACGCCATGCTCTCTGGATCCAGCTTCCAGATGGCAAGCCCTCGAGAAGCTGTGGCGCGCAAATGCTTCGCCAACTTGTTGGCGAGAGAAGTGTCTCCTGTGGTCGGCGCCTTCAAACGACTTGCTAGAATGCTGGCGACCCCCGCTGCTCCTGGACGCGTCTCCCTCCCGACCCAATTTAATTTGCATGCAAGCGAGCTAAGGAC